TCCACCGCAAGGAGGATGTAGATATTACCTTGAGAGTTTGGGAAAGGTCCCATGAAGTCAATCCCCCATGCATCGAAAATCTCATAGAAAAGTATGGAGTTTTGTGGCATCTCGTTTCTTCTTGAAATGTTCCCCGCTCTTTGGCAATTGTCACAAGATCAACAAATTCCATTTGCATCACGAAAAAGACTTGGCCACCAAAATCCACTTTCAATTATTTTCATTGTCGTCCGTTTCGGGCCGAAATGTCCTCCACAAGCATAAGAATGACAAAACTCTATGATATGGGTTATCTCATATTCGGGGATGCATCTTCGAATTATTTGATCCTTACAATGCTTCCACAAATATGGGTCATCCCAAACATAGAGTCTTGAATCTATCCTCAACTTTTCTCTTTGAGATTTTGAGAGTTGTGGAGGAAATTTTCCAGAAACAAGAAAGTTTACAATATTTGCGTACCATGGTTGTATGACTTTGATGGAGAAGAGAGTCTCGTCCGGAAGTTCGCCTTTTAGGAGATTTGTATGGAGACCTTCGATTTCTCTATTTGGAACCAAGCGGCTTAGATGATCGGTCACCAAATTTTCCGCTCCTTTCTAGGGACTTATATAGAGAATATGGGATGACATTAATTGATGCACCCAAATCTAACATAGCCCTAGAAAAACTAGCATTTTCTAGTTTACATGGTATAATGAACATTCCCGGGCCACTATACTTTTTAGACAGTTTCTTTAGAAAAACGGCCGACACTCTTTCACTTACTTGGATTTTGTGTTTTCCACTTAATTCGTGTTTCCTTTTAATTGTGCAGAGCTCTTTTAGAAATTTTGCAAATCTAGGAACGCCTTTAATTAAATTGAGAAGATGAATATTTACCTCACATTTAGAGAAGGTCTCATAGATGTCTTTGTCATTGTTGTATTTGCAGTTGTCCTTGAGAGCTTCTGGAAAAGCTGGCACCGCTCATATGAATCGAGCGGCAGGAACTTTCTTTGAGGAATAATCTCCTCCTCTTTCTCTTCTTCATTTTGAGGATGTGTGCTTTGCACCAAGTGATCCTCGTATTCCTCTCCAACATGGCTCTTTGCTTTTGCTTTAGCCATCAACAATTCTTTGCCACTTCACAAAGTGACAACATGAGCTTGTTGCTTTGGATTCGGCTCCGTTTGAGATGGAAGCTTTCCCGAATCCTTAGCTTCAAGCCTACTCACCGCATTGGAGATTTGACTTATTTGGCTTTCCAAGTTGTGAATGCTAGATTTGGTGGTTTCTTGGAATTGAGCCACACTTTGTTGCATTGTTGCCATATTAACGGCAAGTGCTCGAATCACGTCTTCGGTGGACATGTTCGAGTTTGATGTTTGGCCTTGTTGTTTGTATGGTTGAGGAGGAGGGTTGGATTGTTGAGAATTTCCGTACCTTAAATTTGGATGATCCCTTCATCCGGGATTGTAAGTGTTGCCATGAGGATCGTACCTCCTTTGACCTTGGAACCCCAATGCATTGACTTGCTTGAGATTCTCCTCTTGTAGTGTTGGGAAAGAATCGGTGGGATGCCCTTGTGTGGAGCATATGCCGCAGACCTTGACTTCTTGGGTTTTTGGATTTAAGAGAAAATCTTTAACCAAAGAAATCAAGCCGGCCACTTGACTTTACAACGAGTTGTTGGATTCCGCCGCCATAACTCTTTTCGATGACCGCCGATCATAGTGTTCTACAATTCTTGGCCAACTCCGAGATAAGATTCATAGCTTGAGAAGGAGTCTTGTTGACAATTCCTCCTCCACATGCGGCATTTATCATCCACCTATCATCATCGCAAAGACCATCATAAAAGTAAAGGATGAAGTCTTGCTCCGAATAGCCGTGATCGAGTTCTTACCATATACTCAAACAAAGCTCAAAAAATAGAAATCTTTATATATATATATATATATTTATTTTTCTGAAATAAAAAGAAAAATTAATTGCCTTTCCCCGGCAACGACGCCAAATTTGACGAGCACTTTGTCGTGGTGCGTCAAAATAAATTCAATACTTAACACTTATACGTAGTATAGTGAAGTAGAGTTCGTATCCACAGGGAAAGGAATAATTCCCTTTTTATGAACTAGTAATTAAAGGGGATTTTTGGATTTGAATGATTTAATTTAATTAAAAACTAAGATGAACAACCTATATGTGATTTAATTCAAAGATAAAAAGAACTTGGTTTTGCTACTTTCCACTTGTTGATATATTTAGTCGATCCTTGTTATATCTATAACTTATCCCCTCTCGAATACTCAATTGAGAAGTATATCCAATTCATCGAGGGTAGTTATTAACAACGACCGTTCATTAACAACCCTTACTATTAATCAAATATAGAACAATGCCATATACCGATTTAATAGTAGCATTTAATCTTTTTAACTCCTTGATGAAATCAATTGAGATTGATAACCTCAACGGTTTCGGTTTAACCAACAAAATTAATCCCTCTTAAGTCTATCAACCACGACCGTGCATTAATAAACTGAAGTTACTTACTTATGAAACCATCAACGATTAACCATCGGTTCGTTGATCGTTCTAGTAATAATTAATGTCAAAGTGTTAACTAATAGTCACTTAGCAACACCCCAACATTAATATAGAATGAGATTAAGAGAAGAATTAATATTCAAGGAGAGAAGTTAAGAAAATAACTCACAACTTTAATAATCAACAAGCTTCAAGAGCAAAACCAAGAAATGGAAGTTTAGTTCCACACTTGGAGACTAAACATACTAGAAAAATATAAAGAAATGCTATTCTAAACTGAGCTTAAGAGTATATGGAAGAAGGGATGATTTAATGTGAATGAAAAGGGGTGTATTTATAGGGAAATGAAGGTTGTAGGGTCATGTACCCGACGGGGTATTTGGGGTACCCGATCGGGTATTCAGCAGCTTCCGAGAAGTTGAAAAAATCAACTCATACCCGATCGGGTGTGTCGATCTACCCGATCGGGTATGAGACCAAATCTTCAAATATATTCATCCCACGATCCATTGTTTTCCGGATTTCATTTTGACATGCGAATCGGGTGAATACCCGATCCGGTATTGCATATACCCGACCGGATTTGTGAACTATTTTCCAAATCCTTTTTTTGATCTTGTTCCTTTGCACATCTTTTGATCTTTGGGATCCATTCTTTGATCCTTTGAGTGCATTTGACCTGTCCTATGCTCAGAATTATTCTAATCTAAACAATTTACACAACTTTAAATAAACTAAAACATTACACCAAAAGTGTGTAATTTCCAAACTAACGAATCACAAAAGTAATTAAAAGTGTACACATACAACCGGAAATTACACAAATATCAAGTACTATTTGCCGTGGCCAATTGCTGCAATAGCGACCAAGATTCTCTCCTTCTTTGTTGTTCTGGGCAGCCATAGAATCCAGTTAACCTCCAAGGTATCGCTTGCGCTTCCACAGACACAGTAGTGTCAATATAATGCTGAGAGAATCCCTGGATATTCACGGTCATTTTGTTTTTCCACATTAAGGCTAAACCGCCACTTCGTCCGTCACAGTTAACACAAAAATTCTGCTCAAACCCCAATTGCTTGCTAACATGGGTTATACGTTCATGGCCGCATAGGGTTTCCATTAGGAAGATGATTGTCGGGGTGATACGTGGACGTAATATCTTGTAGTACCTGAATAGTGATCAGATTTCCCAATCCTCTATAGTTCCAACTAACACATCCCATTGTGGAAGAAAAAAACAACCCTCTCGACCAGGTATAGACCGGCGAGGACCAAAACCCTTCCTCACAAGCGAGGGAGACTGAATACCTCCGGAAAACAGTCCGGGACATAAGCGTTACAAGCCAAATTTAACATAGACCTGCGCCGTATTTGGCGGCCATCGCCGCTGATTCTCTTGGAGCGTAGGTTTTTTTGTTCAATTGTAATACCTGCTCAAATTGCATGTATTATCACATATCTCTTATATCCTCTTCCGCGCATCTTTGAAGGTGTGTAACAATGACTGATCATTTGATGAGGTTTATCTGTTTGTAGAAATGATAATTAAAAGAGAAAATAACTTTAAATAATACAAGAGAAAGTTTTTAAACTCCTTTTAATTATGGCTAAGTAATTTTTAATTTACACTTAGAGAAAATTATAGTATAATTATGTAACTTTTAATTGTGTCCACTTTTGCACGGTAAAAAGTGTACTCTTATCCCTTCCATGTTCTTTATTGATGTTTAAGTAACATTCAATTTACGTTTAGAGAAAATTACAAACATAGTTTTGTAACTTTCAATTGTGTCCACTATTAATACAGTAAGTTTATGCAAACACAAATTTGATCGGATAATTAATAAATTTGTCTATATTAAAGACTCTCACCGGAAATTGAACCTAATAAAGCAAAAAAGTGATCAAAAGTTACCTCACTTTGTATAGTTCGCTTTATGTCTTTGGATTTGAGTGAGGGAAGGTAAATACATTTCCTTTAAAACCTTCCTCTTTTAAAAAGGTACATGTTTCACTCCCAAACTCACTTTAGACCTTCCTATTTTCCTCCCCCCTTCTCCCTACTTCCCTTCAAAGTAGGGATGGACTGGGCCGGCTCGGCCCGACCCTGCTCGTTACTGTGCTAGCCTAGCCTGGCCTGACCGACCGGGATCGAGACTGGGGGCCCAAATCGGGGATAGGGGGCGGGTTACGGCCTTCAAAATGGCTGACCGGCCCGGCCGGTCTGATACCAGTCTCAGCCCATTTTTTTTTGGTTTTTCTCATTGATTGGCTGCTAGTTGGGTTGAGTGGTTGGGGGGTTTGGGGGTAGGAATAAATTCGAAAAGCAAATCTAAAAAAAGAAAATTGTTTGACCTGACTCGGACCCGGGCCGACACGATCCCGGTACAAACCCGAGCCGGTACCGGGCCTGCAACCCAAAACCCAATGACCCAGTCCTGCCCAATCCCGTCCAGGTCCCGGTAAGGTCCACCGTTCCTGGGAAGTTCAAAGCCTTCCCGTTCCCTCTGAGATTTTCCTTGTGTTTTTTAGGAAAATAAATTTGCTAGGTGAGGGCAACTTTACATGCAAGTTTCGGCAGAAGGAAGAGACTTGAGCTGTGGTAATCAAATCCACATTCTCACCTGATGTATTTCTATCTCTTCTACATTCTCGATCCATCTGTCCGGCTAACTGATTCTTGTAAAGAATATTAATAGAACGAGAGAAATGCGTCATAGCAACCCTAGTTGCTCAGATATTAGCAACACTGTTGCATCAATCGAGGGTGAACCCCAGAGTTTAGGGAGCGGCGGGCTGAGATCTCCATCGCCGACCAAGTCATTGCCTTTTTCACGCTCAGCTTCTTACTCACTTCCCTCTTTATTCAACGGCTACCCTGCCACCTCGTCTGCGCTGAAAAGGATGCCGCAAAAGAGAAAGAGGGCATGGTACCCGCCTTTGACGAAGCTATGGTTGGGTTTGCTGATTGCTACCGTTGTTTTTGTGAACTGGTGGATGCTCTCTCGGATCAAGGAATCAGGTCTGACCCGTGGAATCAAATTCAAGCCCATTAAAGCTAATTCATCTGCTTTGCCCATTCCGGTAGACTCTTCCTATCCAATATTCATTTAGATTTGCATTGAAAAAGACGAATTCCTGGTATAGGTTTTTCTTTTAGATGACTTTCTGTTAAAGAAATGAATGAAATCTCACACTAAGAACTTGAGAAGAACTGTTGTATATCTATGTATATATAGTATGTGTGTTGAGTGGTTCTTATTACAAACAATTTTCCAAAATTTGGAGAAGTAATGGGTAGAGATATTTAAGGAAGGAAAAGTTGATAATGAGAAACAGTTTTTGAGAAGCTAGTGCCTAGTACCCCAGCTTTCTCCACAACTTTTTTCAGAGGCTAGTACTAGTACCCCTTGCTTCTCCAAAACTGAGATTTTTAATCCTCAAGAATGGTTCTGAATTTAGATCAAAACTCGTCTAACTGATTCTACTCTTAAATTCTCCTTGAAGGAGCATAACCAGTTTTATAAAACTGCTCCAAGCACCTCCTTATCTTAAAACAAGAATCTGAAATCTCAAGGGAAACAAAACATCTGTTTACAGAATTACAGCAGACATAGATGAATATTTACATCCATAAATAGAGATGTCGCTTATTAAAGAAACTAAGTGACTGAGCTGTTGAACTGATGTAGGAGGAACTCTTAAATCTTGGTAAAGGAAAAATGCCACAGAAAACTATCTATGCACGCCTACTGGCCCAGGCTGCCCATGCTTTAGATGAGGTACTCTCTCTCTTCACGGTTTACAAGTTAGATTGGTGTATGGCATCTTTTTATTTTGTTATTTGAGGTATTAAATTTGGACTATCTTACGTTGCAGCTAAATAATAAAACTGAGCTCAAAGACCTATGGGCAGAACCCTATGCTATCGCATCAACATGGAAACCTTGTGCTGAGCAGCGTGACTGGAAACCTAGTGGTCTCTCTCTCTCTAGCTCTCTCTGTGGCTTTTATTTATAGCCTTATCATTTTAGCCTAATTCTTGTTTGAACAAACTTAATCTCTAATCCAGGTGGAAATGTTGGCTACATTTTGGTGACTGCAAATGGTGGTATAAACCAGCAACGAGTAGCTGTAAGTCATGTCTCTGACTACATTTTATTTTAATTATTATATGTTCTAAAAAACATATCTGCAATATGTTTTCTTTTAAAAATCTGAAACAGAATTTTGCACTTTCCATTTTATTGCAACTAAGATCTTCACCGGCTTGCAAAACAGATATGCAATGCTGTTGCTGTTGCAAGATTACTGAATTCAACTCTTGTTCTTCCAAAGTTCTTGTATAGCAGTGTTTGGAGGGATGTCAGGTGAAAAAACTCATTCATTTTTTAGTGTATGTAGTACACAAATGCTTCTCCTCCAGAGGTACAATACATAGTATATGCTCTCACTCTGTTACAAACATGTTACTACCTCCGCCCCCTAAGATTGGGGTTTGGGACAAAGGAGAGTGGTGTGGTTTTTAAGAAAAGTAGAGTTATGTGGTTGATAATAAATTGATGAAGTGAGAATAAAATAAGAATGAATTAGAGCCACTCACATATTGCCAAATAGTTATGGGACAAATTTAGTGGGATGGACTGAAAAAGAAAAATGGGACAATTATAGTGGGACGGAGGGAGAATCACTTTGTGGTGTTTCACACATACTAAATAAATTGTAAAAATATGGATAAAATAGTGCAAAGTGCTAATATGCACCCATTTAATGCAGTCATCTATGTTCATAAGAGAAGTTGTGTCCCCTATTAATTAATTAGAGAAGGAATAAAATTTTAAAATTTTAATATTTGATGTATTCAAAATGTAAAATGAGAGTTAATTTGGGACGAAGAAAAATTGAAAGTGTGACATCTTTTTTTGGATGAAGAGTAGTAGTATCTTATCTAAAACAGAAAAGTAACAGCCAAGTTCTACAATTTCTTAGTCAGTTTGGCGATATCTATCAGGAGGAGCATTTTATCAAGTACTTGAAGCCCGACGTTCGAATAGTAAGGGAACTCCCAAAGGAGTTTCAATCATTGGATCTGGAAGCAATTGGCAGTCTGGTGAGATTATAATCCTACAAAATGCTCATTAGTTGCTCTATAATATTGTAATTCATGCACCTAGGGTCTATTTGTATAGTGTTTTGGATGGAAATACTATGGATGACATAGTCTATGTTTTGATAAATGGAATGCTTCTAACAACGAATAAACAGTGATCGATTGCTATACGTGATTGGTCATTTACTATGTTTTTCCTTCCATTTTTTAAAAACTAAATTATGTATCAAGATGTAGAAAAATCCCTCCAAAACCCTCCATCCAAAGTGACCCTTGAATCACACATTCAAACTTGTCGCTTTATTTATATCTGGAAAATATTATGTTAGGTGACAGATGCAAATATTTCCAAAGAGGCCAAACCAAGTTTTTATTTGAAGTATATACTACCAATCCTAAACCATAACAGAGTAGTCCATTTCGTAGGATTTGGGAATCGCCTAGCATCTGACCCATTACCATCTCAGCTACAGGTAACTATCCTTAGCGGCTTAGCCTCCATCTGGGATCTTTCCTGCCTGATATTTGGTCATTTCTGTGATATACCATTGGTCCTTAATTCATTCTTCAATTTTGAACTTCCTCTAGAGACTCCGGTGCAGATGTAATTTTCATGCTCTGAAATTTGTTCCCAAAATACAAGAAATTGGTGCTTTGCTTATCCAGAGGATGAGACAAAATGTAACACGCTTGGGGCGGTTAGATCCTCATCTGGTTGGTCCATACGCATTAAGGAGTCAAAGTATCCGTGCAATAAAACCTACTACGAGATATTTGGCATTACACTTGAGGTTTGAAATTGACATGGTAGCCCATTCTTTGTGTGAGTTCGGTGGAGGTGAAGAAGAAAGAAGAGAGTTGGAAGCATATCGTCAAATCCATTTCCCTGCATTCGTGGAGCTAACAAAGACCAAGAAGTAAGTTGTATTCTACCATTTTATTTTCTTGTTAGTCGACCCCAAAATGTTTTGGGACTAAGGCTTGGATGTTGTTGCCGTTGTTACTTGCACTGTAGTACAAAGCATAGTCACATAGTCTGCGGAATGCTTCGGTACGGGAACAAGGATCGGGAACATGATTTGCTAGATTTAGCGTATCTGGTTCGGAGGGGGTAGGTTCATTTCGGTATGCGTTCAGTACGACGTATCTTATGTTTTGGTACTATAATAAAACAGAGTTACAGATTTCATAACATAAAACAAAAACAGATTACATAACATGATTTCATAACATTAAACATAATCAGAAACATCAATATTCCAGAAACATTTGACTCAAAACTGAAAAACACAACCAGAAGCATTAATTAAAACAGAAAAGTTCTCCAAAAGTCCAAACTCCAAAGTTCCAAACCCCAAAACAGACACGTCAGAATGAACAGTTTTCACTCAATTTATAGGAGTTAGAATGTGAAATTGATGAGTTGGATCAGAAAACGAAGTGGCTGGTTCGAAATCCGCACGCGTGTTGAAACGTTTGAAAGATCATGTAGAAACATTTGAAATCCGCACGCTGAAAGGAAACGACGAGTCACGGTTCCAAACGGGTTCGCTGGGAAAATCGCTTGGGGATCGAACTGAAAATCGATTATGATCAAAATAAAAACGATTGTGATTAAATCCAAAATCGATTGGGATCGAGTAGACAAACGTACGTAATAGCGATCCAGTTAGCAATTGGATCGCTTTCGTACTGGGATTGGGTACGGAACGATCGGTTCGCAGATCGTGGCCTTAGCGATTTATGTAACTATGGTACAAAACATAATTTACTTTAACTGAAATAAAGTGTTGCATTAATCTTCTTCCAAAGCAGTACTATCCTCACTAACAACCTTGAAATTAACGTGGATGCGTCATTATCATTATTATACAAGGAAACACTCTTGACCCTGTTTGTAAGAGTAAAGTTTGGTAAAATGACTGAAGTAACTTAACGAGTTGAATTTATTAAGTTGAGGGTGAAATAACTTTTTCAAAATATGGATTTAAGAGAAACGAAGTAATGAACGTAAAAGTGCTGTTTCCTTTCATTTATGTCAAGTAACTTCAGCACTACTCTTTCTCATTATCAAATGATTTAAAATGTCTAGTATAACTTTGGGCCTATGAAGCACGAATACTTCCCTAGGGTAGCGTATCGGCGTATCGGATACGTTCCCGTATCCGATACTCTAGGATACCCGTACCGTACGTTCCCGGGCCGTATCTTTAATTTTTAAAAGTTTCCATTTTTTGAAATTTTTTGAAAGTTTCTGATACTCGTATCCTGACAGATACCCGTATCAACTTTTTTGTATAAAAAAAACCCAAAATTTGAGGATCCTGAATCTATTGCAAGCAGATATTACATGGAACCTAAGAAGTGGTGGGCATGCTTTGGTTCTAATGCACCTTTTTTTCAAAAATTAGCTTTCAAAATAGGACAACCTACTTCATCATCATGCTCAGAAAGGAATTGGAGTTCTTATTCTTTTATTAATTCATTTAGAAGAAACAAACTGCTTCCAAAGCGAGCGGAGGATTTGGTATTTGTTCATAACAATCTTCGTCTTTTATCACGAGCTTCTAAGGAGTATATGTTTTTAAAATATTGTTTTCTATCTTAATTATTCTAGAACTTTGGTACTTGCACTTTTAATTTCAAGATTGTAGTTGTTTGACTTATTTCTCATTTTAAATTAATGACTTATCGACTACATGTCTACATTTATATTTCGAGATGCACTAGTGTATATGAGAAATATTATGATGTATATGTAATGAATGGGTATATATGTATATATAGGATATATATATATATCCATTTTTTTTTTGTATATTTCATAGGATATTATATGTATATATTTCCAAAAAAAACTATTTTTAATATTTATAAATACACCCCTGTAACTTTTAATATTTGTAAATACACCCCCATAACTTTTAATATTTATAAATATGACCCCGTATCCGTATCCTACTTTTTTTTTTGTTTTGTTGTATCCCCGTACCCGTGTCCGCGATTCCGCGTACCGGTATCGGTGCTACATAGCTTTGGGCCAATAAAGTTGATAAGCAGAAGAATCAAGGTACCAAACATGCCACAATTAGTCGTAAATCAAATTGATTTCCAAGAAACTCATATCTATTGCAGGTTGCCTTCTCCTGCAGTTCTGAGGTCTGAAGGTCTGTGTCCATTAATGCCTGAAGAAACCGCACTTGTGCTTGCTTCCCTAGGTTACAATCGCCAAACACGCATATACCTGGCTGGTGCACACATCTATGGAGGGAAATCAAGGCTAGCTGCCTTAACCACCTTGTATCCATATTTGGCAACTAAAGAAAGCTTGCTTTCTCAATCTGAAATCCAACCATTTGCAAATTTCTCTTCTCAGGTATAGATGAATGGATGTTGTTACTAATGGACTTGACTTCCTTTTTTATTCTGGAAAATATTAGATTATAGATATTTTTATACGTATGTGCTTTGTTTGTCTATTCTATAGACTATGAAATCATAGTAGGAAAAACTCACATGAATAATCCCACCTTTTGATTTTCATCAAATATTAATCCCAAATATGTGTAATTCTAAAATGATCCTTTGGGAATAAGGCTTGGATGTTGTTGTTGTATGAGTCATTCTAAAATAATCTAATTTATTTAAGGCATCTTCTCAAAATAAGCTGGTAACCTGAATTAAAAGTTTTAACAAGTCACTTGACCACGTGTCTTAATCTGATTGGGCCATAGATGTTTTACTTTTCCTTTTCTTTTATTTTCTCTTCCTTTTTTTCTTCTGTCCCAGACCCTTCTTCATTTATTCACAGCTTTCATGGATTTCTGCGCCTATTTCATTGGTAAAAACCTCTAAACACCTGTCGCTGAAAAACCTCCAACTAGCAGGACCAAAATTTCAATCTCAACTTCAACATAAAAAGATCGGATAGAAGTTAATGTTTAAAGAATTAAAGGTTAAAATGACGTAGAAGGTAAAAATACAATCAAGATTTCATTAGAATTTTGAAGAATTAGAAAGAGGGGAAATCAGGGATAGAGCAGAAAGAAGGGAAAAGGAGAGGAGTCTCGAGCAAGAAAAGAAAAATAAAATGAAAAATAAAAAAATAAAAGATGAGCTCAGTAGGTTTACCGGTTGTTCACCAATTTAGTAGGTTGCAGGTAATCGAGGTCAATTTGAGATATCAGGTAAATTTCAGATTGTTACAGAATTATGCATATTTGAGATTAATATTGGAAGACCATCAATAGTTGGGATTATTCATGTGAATGTTTTCATCTTAGTAAATGCCTTTAAAGGCTTAATATTTAATACTCATATTTCATTTTCATTTGCACCTTCCAAATACAACAAACCAAAATATGAAAACAACTTTCCTGAATGTCTTTTTCCCCATTCCCTAACATTATCTTTCTGACGGAAGAATGACCAATAGTTGTGAATAGTTTGAGGTGAACTGTTCTTGCAGCTAGCAGCATTGGACTTCATTGTCTGCACTGCTTCAGATGTGTTTGCTATGACAGACTCGGGAAGTCAATTCTCCTCATTGGTATCAGGTTACCGAGTATATTATGGAGGAGGGAAGATGGCCACCATACGTCCAAACAAACGCAGATTCGCTGACATATTCGTCAAGAACAACACCATTGGGTGGAAGGTGTTTGAGAAGAGGGTGAGAAAGGCAGTGAGGCAAACAAAACGTGTGTTGTTGCGCCCAGTTGGTAGGAGTGTATATAGATATCCTAGATGCCGCGCATGCATGTGCAATACAGATAATTGATGGATGAATATATACAATTTCCGAATGGTATATATTTCTATGTACATGGGGTCCGTCATGTGGATGTAAGTTGAGTTTTCCTCATTAAATTTGCTTGCCATCCTCTGTTTAAAGGGTGGTATATGTTCAGCTGATTGACCTGATTCCCTAGTACGTCCACCTACTAAGAGTTCAAAAGTATAGTGTTTCTATGGAAATATTTGTATTAAAGGGACATAGGGATGGACTAAACCGGCCCGGCCCGGCTCGGAACCGGCCCGGTCCGCTACTGTGCAGGCCCGGACCGGACCGGGACCGGTTGGCCGGTTCCGGACTTTTAGCCCGTTTGGGCAGGCCGGGCGGGCCGGGCTCGGGCCCAGTTTTGGGCGAACCGGCCCGGGCGGTTCGGGCCGGGCCCGGGTCATTTTTTTTTTCAATTTTTTTTCTTTTCCTAGGGTAGGGCTGGGTGTTTTGGGGAGGTTTGGGGGTGGGGGGTGAGGGGGGGGGTCAGGGGATAACAAGAAAGCAAAAAAATAAATAAATAGACATTGAACCGGACCCGGCCTGGCCCGGTTAGGCCTGGACCCAGTATCAACCTGGGCCGGTTCCGGGCCCAAGGATTTGCAAAAAAAGCCCGCCCGGGTCCATCCCTTAAGGGACATATCGGCTTCTCAACTTTCTTTTGAAATAATTAAATAAGAATTGTAAAGTTGGAACAAGTATGTACTTACCTCAATCTTTTAAAGATACAATTATTCCACTTCACCATTTTGTGTTCAATTGTTTTTTAAAATTGAATGATATGTGTTCACTAACAATTTGCAACAGTATGTTTGTTACTAATTCCAATTTCCAAACATATAAACTCTTTGTTTTTGGGTAAAAAGAGTCTCCTACAAAATGCTACTCCCTCCGTTCCTATTAAAACTTCCAACTTTCCTTTTTTGTCCGTTCCAATTAAAACTTTCATTTTCCCTTTTTAGTAAAGAATTTGCGGTTCACAACATTTCTTACACATTTCTCTCTCCTCTGCACAACTCTCCACCACACAATACCCACTATCTTAAATTGTGTGCCAAATCTATTTGGAAGATAAAATAGGAACGGAGGGAGTAACTTTTATTCTCAAGTGAAATGTGTCAGACCTCCCATGTGTTATAATTATTTATACGCAGATTCCCAATAAAGAATAAATTTAGTTGTCGATTAAAAGAACAAATTTAATTGTTCCCTTAAAACTTTGTCATGTTTGATTTTTTAAGTCAATGGTGGTAATGTTTGGATAATGATTTTGTTTAGTATAATCTTATGAAAGTTATGAATTTTATACTTTTATAAAAGTATCTCAACAAAGAACATTTTGTAACATTTTTTATTATAAATTATTGGGAAAATAACTTTAAATAATACAAACTATCTTCCATGAACCAAGAATAATACATACTTTGAAAATGATTTTTAATAATACCAACTATTTGCATATAAAACAAAAATAATATGGAACCACTTTTCATCAAGAAATCCAATCATTTAAGACATTAAAATCTAATAGCAAACTATCTATTAAATGATATTTGGAAATACAATCACTTAGTTGATATTCTAATAGTACTTTTTGATGAATTAAATAACTGAATTTTCATTGAAAAATTACTCTATATCACTTTTGATCTATGTTTGGATAGTTGATATTATTAAAAGTAATTTCCAAAGTATGTATTATTCTTGGTTCATGGAAGATAGTTTGTTTTATTTAAAGTTATTTTTCCTAAATTATTTGCTATAAAAATGTATCATTAGTCAAAGTTTAACATGACTTACTGAAAAATGCAAAGTTTTAAGGGAAGAGGAGTATTTAATACTCCGTACAAATCGCTAAATATGTTATCTCAAGGTGTTATGTGCATCATTAATTATAAGTTTATAACAAGGAGGATTTTGGCACTTTTTTTATATCACAAGAGACTATGCACAATTTGTATATCACGAGAGGATTTGACACATTAAACACAAATTTCTTTGGCAACAAATGGTTTAGTCATTTACTCTAACCAATCTTTGAAACGAATCTTTGATTAAGTTGAATATAAGTAAAAAAGTTATACTATCTGCTCAAACATTTCTTTGAAGACCATATGTATTAACCCATACTATACTATCCTCATTATTAGCCCATATGGCGATTCAAGTCAAATGAGTTAATTTTTTGTTATAAAATAATATCACATGCATCAAAATGAAGCTACCAAAGAGACACTAGATAGTTAAATGAATACAAAAAAGAACACAAAACTACTTCTACTACTAATCATAGTATTCATCCTCCCTCTGCTTCAAACTGGAACCTATCTCTTCTGCCGTTTTGGTCTAACCTACAAGCAATAGGAGATTGTTATAGCAACTCACTAATGACTTGAACTTGAGTTGCAAAATGCTCCAATGCACATTTAACTAACCAAAAGCAGGGCAAAAAAACAGCTTATTACACTATTGTATAGCAAAACCAACCTTGTCACTACTCATTGCAGAAACAGAACACTCGTTTGGACGTTTTTTTGCATGTTGAGCCGATACACAGGCGGTACAAACAAATCGATCCTGCTGCTTTGCCTGTTGGATAGACATGCCCTCACACCTGGGATGGAACCTGCAAAGAAGAGTGAGAATCTGATGGAAAATAAGTTGATGTACTCACCTCGGGGTCATCTTCCCCGAGGTTCTGTATGACAGGATGAGTCTAAGCAAAGCAGTTTTAGAACTCGCATGCTGTTTTTGATTCTTAATTAGATCGATTGTTCATTTAAGTTTTGTTGTCAAGACCAACCTAATAGACGGTAGGATTAACAAATGACCTTATATTGTTAGTCTGTATCATTGTATTTGTTCTGTACTTCTGTCTAGAATAGTTTTAACAAAATCATCCCACTATAGTATTGTACCAGTCCTTGCAGGCTTCACATTGCATCATCAGGTCATCTGGGTTGTAGGGCAACTGGCATTTGCAATACCTGCAAGTCAAATGAAAGCACATATGACTTTTAAGCCAAATTACAACTTAAGGTTCAACCAGAAACTAACACAAACAGCATTCACACATACACAACAACTCGGTCAGGATGACAAGCTCCAGTTGCAGCATTGTACTCAAATCGACAATAGTAATCATCCGGACCGACGCATGAAAGTTCAGTGTACGCCATGAAAGAGTGAACGGTACATTTCCCTTCAATAGTTTCGGCACTCTGGACATCATAGTGATCTGATAAGAACAACTCTTTAGTTCCGTGAAACGATTGCCTCCCTCTCACTGTTTCCTCTGGTCGGTAATACCACCTCACACACACATTCACATTGTTTCTGTCGTCAGCCTCTATTTTCTGCACATATGCCACATATGGGGCTGTTTCGTTCTCCGGCGACCTCATAAGCACACACTCCCCAGCTTCACATTAACCATTATTGATTCAGAAACATAATGTTGCATCTTGGAAAGTAAGAGTGGCGAAGCAAATGTATTTTTAAGGGGCGAGGCTTGAAAATTTCATATGCAGGGACAAAGCATAAAAGTCTAACATTTTCTGATCTTTACCGAATATATACACACACCTACGAAGTACGGAAACTCTCGGAAAAGAGAGTGTTTCTGCAAAACAGAATCGTATAAACTAAGTGTACATCAAACATGGTTGTTTTTTCCATTAGACGCTTCAAAACTCGACCAAGATCAAATTTTTATCATCAAGATTCAAGAAACTATTAGAGCTAACACAACCCATGCATGTTATATATGAATATGTAATGAGAAAATATATGTGTGTACCTCTGACGACTCTGTTGGTGCCTCTGATTGTGTAGGAGTGCAAATCTCGTTTTCCATGCCTGCTCTTGGCCATGGTGGCAATCGCTTACGTTGATCTGGCCAAGAAAACGACAACGTACGAGAAAATATATGTTATGTGTATGATCCTTGATCTCCAAAGATCGACCAAAGCTAAGGGTTCCTATAATGAATGGACAAATGTTCGTAGCAATACATGCATGAATCATATCTTATGTGTATACATTACAGTCAAGAAAAGAGTGGTGATATTCAGGCGCACGTCTTTATTGCTACTGCATTGTACGAAGTATAAAGCAAGCGATGTTTCTACTGTAAACCCTAGCTAGATAAGGAATTAGTATGTTTTTATTTCGGATCAAGCCAAATCAGACTTAAACATATCAGATCGGATTAAAGTTCGATAGTTATAAAATACATAGAGACTGCATCAGTCACATCTCATCAATAGCTTAGGAGACTCGGTACAAATCACAAAAAAGGGATTTGTACTACCTCCGTCCCAAAATTAACTTCCCATTTCGGATTACGATGTTTGACCGACGATAAAGCAACTCGATCCCTGTTCATACTCAGATTATTTTTACTAAATAAAATTTACATATTCAGAAACTACATTAAAACTGCTATAAATTATGAGAAAAAAATGTAAATTTGATAAAAATTTGATATATAAAACATAAATTTAAGAGTATTTTAAGTTGACCGTTTGAATAGTGACTGTGAAGTTAATTTTGGAAAGGAAGGAGTATTAAATTAAAATGCAATACCAAAAAGCAACCTTAAAAACCCAAAAAAACTACAACCAACTATGAGATTGAGAGATGATCACATTTTCAAAGTTGAACAAATAAAATAGTAAAAAAAATCTAAAATCAGATATAAACGATTCAAAATAGGATGAGAAAAAGTGAATATTTTACTTTCTGTTGGATGACCTGAATAGTGGAATCGTTCGGGCAAATCAAGTAATTGATTTTTTTTGAAAAGAATCACAAAGAAAATAACTCTAATTTGTACTGAATGAGAGAACTCGAGAAAGAGAAACCGGTAAATCGTGCAAAAGCCCCGACTTGATTTGGAAGGAAGGATTATTTAACTGTCAAATAGGTCCTCGAACTTTCATAAAAAGGTCAATTAAGTCCTTCTATAGGAGGTTCTGTCCGGCCATCGTGATTTGGGGCAGTTCTCGGTGGACTTTTTTGATGAAATTGTTTGAGCATCTCACTCACCAAGTCTAGTTTACTCATACCAAATTTCAGCTAAATATTCAATCGGGAACACATTCAAATTAATTCTTGAAAATAACTGCGCATTTTTGCGTTCTCGAATTAATTGGAATGCGCTCCCGATTAAAGTTTTCGCTAAAATTTGGTATGAGTAAACTAGACTTGATGAATAAGATTCTCAAAAAATTGCATCAAAAAATTCCGCTGGGAACCTCCCCAAATCGCGACGACCGGACAGAGTCTCCCATAGAAGGACTTAATTGACTTTTTTATGAAAGTTCGAGAACCTATTTGACAATTTTCCATTTATTTTTCATTTAATTTAATATGAAAACCGGAAGGGCTCTTTAATCATCCATTTGCATTTGTTTCAGTTGCGCCGTTTGACACTTTCATTTAAAGGTGTTTCTAATTACTTTATATACACATCTGTTACGGACCGACTAATGGGAATTCCCGTCCGGCCAAGGGTGTTTGGGGCCTTACCAGTGAAAATTTTTATGATATTTTTTTAGCACGTTCTTCAAAACTTTAGTTTGACCCTGTTTGGATAACATCGTTTTACCCAAAACACTGATATTTATAACTTAGAAAACGCTTCATTTTGTAGCGTGTGACACCCAACACATTGGAAAACAAACGAGACATTTATGCCAAAAAATGTCAGATTAGAATTCATTTGGAAAGTCAATTAAATAAATTATTGAAAATTATTGCGCTCTATCTACTAAAAATATAAAGTGTGGAAGGATGTTAACATGACTCTTTTACCGTGTGTGCAGTGCCCGCGATTGATGTCGGTCTGTTGCCTCCGTTGGCTAACGTGGTTTTCTCCCCCCACCCCCCTCATTCTTTCTCTTCAGTATACATCTCACTACCTCCTCTCCCGGTTCATAAGCTAGGGTTCCCAAGGAAGCGTCACAGCCTCTCATACGTAACAGCGGTAAGGGAAACCCTCCTATGGATCTAATATGGACAACAAAATTATAGGAGCTAAAGAAGAGGCCCTGAGCAAAAAAGAAATATTGGCTAAGGTTGAGAAATTGATGTATGCTTGAGAAGAAGAGGACTGACTTGAGGACTACAATCGGGTAAGTTTTACGTCTTCTTCCTTAGCTTGGTTATGCATAATAAACACCCAATTGAACTATTTAGACCGCAACCAACTAATTATCTGTTTTGTTTTTCTGATTTTAGAAATATATGTATGCTTTCTCGGTCAAAACATATTTAGTCCGTATGTAGAACAACTTCTTTTCTTGGAAAACTTTCTTAAACAGATGTATAATTTCTAGGTCAAAACAGATTTAGTCAGTTTGTAGAACGGCTTATTTTCTCATGAAACTTTCTGATACAAATGTATACATTCTAGGTCAAAACATTAGATTATACTCCGTATGTAAAACAACTTCTTTTCTTGGAAACTTATTTTGTATAAAAAACTATTTTTCTGGGAAACAAATGTTGTAGAAAATGGTAAGCAATAATCCATAAGCAACTTTGTGAATGTGGTTAGAAAATGGGTTAGAACCCAAATGTTGATTTGAGAAATGAAATATTGTATGTGAGTTCTAACCCGATGATTGGGGAGTTCCTCTACTATTTGGGGTGTCAATTGCAGATATTTTTGTAGCTTCTACTATGATTAAAAATATTAGAAAATTGAAAAAACCATCCTTGTTATAACTACACTAAAAAATCACTCCCCTCAATGTAATATTATCAAAACTGAAAGAAACACATTTCTGGCAAGGGAGCCAACATTTTGACATGGGAGCTATGTTGTTACAGGCATGCTTGTGGTACAAATGATATCATTTTTCCCCCGAAGTCGTCATTTTCAAAAATGAGGTTGTGATGATTCTTTTTATATTAAATAAAATTAGATCTTTTACATAAGGTAAGTGGTAACCTTTAACTTGTGACACAGTCTGATACACTCCGTATGATATACTAAAAGTGGAATGTCGTTATGAGTTATGACTAGGGAAAAACAAATGTTTTATGCATGGTGACTTGTACCTTGGCTTGGTAACCGTTTTATTGCAACCGTTACTGGTTTTCCCTATGTTATTATATTGATGAAGGGTGTGTAATATCTACCTCATGCATCTTATATGCAAATGCTCTAGAATATGAATTTTGTTTCATTTGGTATGCTTTCTAAGTCTATTTGCTTTCTATGCGACGATTCTCTACTCCCTACATCAGTGCAGCTTAATAATCTTCATCAAGAAAGGCCAGGGTAGAATCCTCAACCTCATCATTCAAAGATGTCGTGTGGACAAGTTTTCCGGGAGAGCAACGAATTAAATGCCAGATTAGCAACAATGCCTTTTTATAGTTCTATTTCACATTTTATTTCACGGAATAGAGCGAAGCTGGTTGTCATACCGCCATGTGGTGTGGAGGAGCCACACATCCACCACCATAAATACGAGATCGGCACAGTTTCATGCAGCAGCCACCCAATCACAACTGTAAATACTCTTGCTCGGCTTTCTTAATTATTGTGTGATCCCCATCATGATGTAACCGCAATCATTAAACTGTTTTTTTCCTGTTTTTGTTTATATTTTGGGATGCTGTATAATGCTAAACAACTACAATGGTTTAATCGTCATGATTGAACTACTCTTTTCTGTTTTGATTTTAATTGTTTTTTCACAAGTTTATTGCTTATTTTCCAACGTTGGGCATGGGATTTCACGCAATGCGCGTTACCATGCTAGTATATACACACAAAGCGCAATATGTTTCAATGATTTATTTAACTGACTTTCCGATCGAATTTTAAGTTGAACTTTGTGGAGATAATAATCTACAATTGATGAAGAATATGGTCAAAAAAATTCCATCGAGAAGGAACTGAAATGGTCTTGGCCCGATGGCAATTTCTGTGTAGACCGCCCGAGGAGATCATTTCCACACACACACTATATATATATAGTGTGTGTGTGGAAATGATCTCCTCAGGCGGTCTACACGGAAATTGACGTCAAGCCATGCAAACTAGGCTTCCGGTGCAAACTACAAACCAACAACATCCGTTAGATTAGAGAAAATGATCAGCTATCCGTGTGGGATGCATATTAAACTACTGCACTCACACGTAGGGAATAAAACGGAATAAAAAATTCTAAGCGTGCAATCAATTTAAAAGGTTAAGGAAGTAATTTAACAAACCAAAAAGAAAGCCGCGAAAACCAAATTACGATTAACTTTGGAAAACCCTGATTTTACGTAAAGTGGCCACTAACAAGGGAACCGGCCATGAATAGCAACAACGAGAAGTTTAAGTTGCAACACTTTGGTAATTGAAAACAGAGTGATCATCGATTTCAATGCCTAGAGCAAGGTTTTTGGTGGATGTTTCTAGCTAAGCCAAGTGCAGGGAAGGCAAAGTGATTCACGATAGCAGGCGATGGATTCGCTACAAATGGAACACCTATTCCGATAAATACAAAATGAGTTTGATGAAGGTACTTGTTTGTAGTTGCTGGTTATTTCAATACAGATTCAAAAACATTAACTTGGATGCATGTTTAATTTGACCATTGAAATGCATCTTATTGAGAAATTTAGGATGAATATTGTCATATTACAAGCATTCATCTGTCAATTAAAGATATTGAGGAGAAATATTGCATTCTTGTAATTGTAGGTGGAATCCAGTTAGATGTAATTATAGGTACTCTGGCACGCAGGGAATACAAAATGATATGCATGAGTTTTAGATGTAAGATGCAGGAGTTTTGGTACTAGGAATTGGACTTCCATATGGATTTACGATGCAATACATTTAGATGTAAGATGCAGAGGATTTGGCACTTGGAATTGGAGTTTGGAACGAATGTAAAGATGCAGTACTTTTAGATGTAAGATGCAGAGATTTTGGTGATAGAAAATTGGATTATAAACGGATGTAAGATGCAGAACATGAAGATGTAAGATGCAGTATTTAAAGATATTAGATGCAGAATATTAAATCATATGACGTGTTTGTGAGAAATATAGATGCATGAGTGTATGATAAAAGATGCATTTATTTAAAGTAGAATGAAAATGAAGGTCTCAGAATT